TCTCTGGTGGGGTTGAAGGCGATGAGGCATCCTTAGTGCTTAGCTCTCAAGGCAGTTCATGGAAAACATTTTAAAGGAGGAAATGCCGAGCGCAGGAGAATTCAATGAAATAGAAACTGCTAAAACTTCCACAAAAATACATTAAGAGCACCAAGGACTTCTGATAACACATTTGCCTGCAAACATATACAAAGAAGCCCTAATAGCCGTCTTTCACCTCTCCACAGGAAGCACTGCAGTTAAATATGCTTTGAACTGTGAGATTCTACACCACTTCGGTACTCAAAAACTTTAGAACACTTTCAGTAAGCATTTGAATGGGAATTCCAACCAGCCTAAACGGGAACAGATTCAAATCTCAGATGAACAGGTGGAATCGGGAACACACGACATGGACAGTCCCTTTAGAAGTGGGTGGGAGTCTGCCTCTGTGTATCTTGCAGAGGGCAGAAGCTATTCATAGATAACAGAAGGGTTTGAAACCTGTAGTTCTGAAAAAAAACTCAAGAGTTATTGGAACACCACTTAGCCCTGTGAAAGCATCTGTAGATTACAGGATAGGTAAGTCATGGCTGATTCCATAAATCTGCCCTTCGCCTGAGAGCCTGAGTTTCAGAGCCAGTGCCCTGGTGAAGAAACCGCAACCTCTGGGAAGGTGCCAAGGAAACCATATTGCTAAGAACATCTTGTTCAAACATCAAGACATAGATATATAGAGGAGTTTGTATAATCTTCACAATCCACAGTTTGATGTCTCCATGTAACAGGGTAATAGAAGCATTTACGATTGTGCTGCTCCAAGCTGAGACCAATCATCTGGAAACAATGTAGATGAGATGGAGGAGATGCTAAGAATTCTCTGTAGATAAAAATACATCTATTTAAGCATGTCTGAATCCTTAGCTTCTTACATCATTGAAAACTCTTGGTCAAAATGAAAACCAGAGTCCATTATGAATTAACAACTTTGACAATGATGAAAATCTACCAGAATGTTTATATTAGGACAGCAATATGCCTGTAAGTGTTGATTTCCCCAACCAGTGTGCAGGGGAGTGGTGTGGGGAGGGTGGAGGGAATCTCAGCTGGATATTGTGGATTCCTGTAGCGCAGTGGTTCGTGTGTTCGCATAGCAAGCGAGAGGACCCGGGTTCAATTTCCGGGTGGGGCAAAATCTTGGCAAGTTTCCTTACTCCACACCTTTGTTTACCTAGTGGTAAGTAGGAACCCGGTTGTTCATCAATTGGCGGATCGCTTTCCGGGGGTAATAATTCACCCTCCAAAAAAATGTGGTCACTCACTCCACGACTGTTTATGGGACATTGCTATGCGCAATTGGCTGCCGTGTTTTGCCAGTAAAATACACAGTCAATCCACTTTACAATATAGTCAGTGAAGCGCTTTGAGACATTTCAACAACGTGATAAAGCGCTATATATTAAATGCAAGGATTATTATTATTTATATATTCACTTGCATCTTGCAATTGTGCAACAAGCAGCAATTGTTTGATAACACCATGAAACAGACAGCTTAAACAAATAAACAAATAAGATTTCAGTGTGATAAGATATAAATGCCGCTGTATGTCAAAATATAGGAATATTTCCTTTTCATGGGGGTGGGAGAGAAGGTCAGCAGATTCTGCATGTATTACTGAGACATCAAGGTCCTGAATCCCTTATTTTCTGTCTGCTGAAATACTCTTTCCTGGAGTAGCAGGAGCTCACAAATGATAATAGACTTTGTCCTCATAGTGACAAGTAACCAATTGCGCACAAGTGTCCCACAAACAGTCGTGGATTGAGTGACCAAATTATTATTTGATTTTATTTCTTGAGGGATTATTATCAGGCATGTGTAGTAAGGGAACTTGCCCAAGGTTTCGAACTGCCGGGAATTGAACCTGGGTCTCTCACTTGTGGTACTTTCACAGATCGTATGTTTCAATTACCTCATTCAGGCCAAGTCCCTCTCCCAGACGGAGGAAGATAGATACCTATCCTTCACCTCCACACAATAAGGTCCACAGCCAAAGAGGAGATGCCTGTATGATAGAACGAGGTACGATTGCGGCACATTTCTGGTAAATTGCAAATCAAAGCCCCACTTTTTTTTATAAACAGCAAAGAAAATGTTCCTTCTGGTGGAAAGTGCCATTTGCTTTGTGCATTCACAATCACATACACAGCTCGCAACTAGTCTTAAGCTTCATTTAACAGCTCTGGGTGTTTGGAGTGTCATCTGTCATGTGCTGGAGGCAGAACTAAAAAAAAATTGTCATCTCCCATCAGTTTTTGCCTTCACATCAGACACACACACAGCCGGAGAGATTCAGTGCTTAGTGCACAGTTCTTTATCTGTTTGAGCATTGAAGCCTCTCTCTAGGTTACAAGATTTTGCATTTCCATTTCTCCCTCTCCCACTGCCAGTCGACAGATCTGTACTGCTGAATATTGCACAGATGTTATTGCAACGGATGTAAACAAAGGTTCAATAAATCCACTTAGTATTATAGAAGCACTTGACAATTGTATAGCACCATTTCTGTAGGGAGGATGTGCCAAAGCGCTCAATTCTGGCTGAGAAATTAAGAAAGAACAACAGTACTATAGAAATATAGGATAGTACAAAGCCAGCAAAAAAAAATTGGCAACCCTCTGGGTTTTCCTACAGTGAAATCTTAAAAACTCCTCTCTCACACCCCTTAACAAATTGGCTCACCAAATAACGATCCAATTCTCTCTTTATTTGATGACATTATAAACCTGAAATTCCACAAATTGGAGGTTTATGGTATCACCAGAATAGTGGAAACTTGCTAAATTATATCTTAATTTCTGTAGTTCTTAAAAAAAAGCTTTGAAATTAAGATTTAACAATTTTCAGACTGAGTGGGTGGTATTTGGGGCCAAATCTGCCTATTTTCTCTCTGAGATGCCAATTGCACGTGTTCACCACTCTGTAAAGTAACTTTTCATTTTTGTACAGAAATCATCCTTCAGTGTTCAGGTTTACTCACAGGTCGTGACATGTCACAACTAATCTTAAAACTATGAAATCCCAGGGTAGTAAGTATTTAAGAAAGGATATCTTCAAGAAATACCATTTCACCTAAGCAAGAATATTAATCAGCCTGTGTTTGTTTCTGTAGATTAGCTGCAGCCCCGATATCTACAACACAGAAGCTGATGACAGATTGCCTAAGATAGGAAAATGATTCCTTGCAACATTGAGGTCAGGGGGAGTGGATCTGATTATGTTTGGGACATTCAAACAGCTGGAGCTCAGCTAACATCTGGATTCACGGTAGAAAAACTGCTTTGCTTAAAAAAAAACTCACTTTGCTTGGTCAAAAAATTTAAGCATCTACATTGGCTTTTGTTTTTGTTGTACTATTTGGTTTGGTTAGATACGTGTCTTCCTTTCTTCTCTTCCAGAGCATGTATCACGCTAATTGAGAGGGCAGTCCCCAGGCCACCGAAAACTCAACCTATATGACAAACAAGTGATGAGAATGCCCTGGGGGATCTCGCCTGCCCCTCCCTGCCTGCCTGTTGTGAGCTTGTAGGTTCAGACTTGCTCATAAAGGCACATCCACAAACAGCAACTTACATTCATGTAGCACCCTGCAGTTCGGATAACTTCTCGGCGCATGTTACAATGGCGGGGCCAGATACCGAGCAAGGGAGTCAATGGTGAATAGTTAACTAGTCAACGACTGGAGAAAGCACACACGAAGCTGTGTCTGGCCACATCACAGCACTGTTTTTTTCCCTCTTGCCCTCTTCTTAACATGCTGACTCCCTCTGTGTACAGTGTCAAAGACGTGAGTCGTTTTCCAATAACTTGCCCAAGTGGCCATTCTTCATTTGTGAACCTTTCAGCGAGTGTTGACAGGCTATTTGCCCATGGAAAATAACCGGGTCTGACACTGTCCTCTCTGTCTAGATGTGCGCACTATTAACAATCCTCACATTTGGTACAGCACCTTATCACTATTCCACTAGATAACAAAAGGGCAGGATTCTGACGTTCCCTCTCCCGTGGCCCTGCAATCCGGAGGGTCCCTGGTGCTAAGCTGACTGACCCCCAGACCAGGGACCATACCTGGGACCTTCCAGATCTTTACATCTGTGTTTTACTCCAGAAAGAAGCTTCACAAACTGAGCCATGGGAGATGGATGGAAGAGGAGAGGGACAATGCATGCAGAGTTCTAATGTCCTGCCTTACAGCACTGTTCTGCTTTAAGACTTTATTTTGTATGGATTCTGCTAAAGGACTTGGGCAGCCTCAGCATTTTCAGCCACATCACATCAGCCTGTCCGAATACTGTTTCCCGTGAGCTACTACTGTTGGTGGATGCTTTCCAGCATATATTCAATACCTATCAGTGCAGCTCTGGGACCCAGACTGTCAACCCACTGATCTGACACTTCAGTAATATTAAGTATCACAGTGCAGTGATTAATGCTGCTGGACATATAACTGTACATGAAAGACAACTTGGATCAGCACTGCTGTGGTCTTAAAAGCCAACCAAGCCCAAGAAAAAAATCTCCCATTAGTAGCGCAGAATCCTTATATACTCATTAGTTTACATTGCTGTGTTGTCAAATTAACAAACCGTGGAAATCATACTAATTGTGATAATCAGGATTAAAGATCAAAAGCTGACTCTATGATTTCATAAACGTACCCACAGAGTAACAAATGTTCACCACAGAAGGAGGTGGTTCTGACCAATGTGTGCGTGTGTGCCACTTCTTCCTGTTTGTTTTGGAAAGCTGCAATTTTAGATTAATCCTGCTTTCCATTTCCTTCCTGCATCGCTTCATCCATTTATTTCTCAGCTGCTTAGCAAGTTCCATTCGGATTAATTCTTATTGATCCAACCTGAGCGGCTACTTGTGGTAATGGACTCCACGCCCCCCAACAGTCCTCCGGGTGAAGGAGTTCCTTCTGAGTTTATGGGAATAACATGAGTAGTGGCTTGAGTGGTCAAACTCATTTTGATTTTATTTTAGTAAAACAGATCATCAGCGTCATAATCGAGAGTTCAGAATTCACCAAACTAAAATGCAATTCATACCAAGTCCTTGTAGAACAAAAGCACAGTGGTGTAAGTAAGTCCATAAGAATGTTTAACTGTCAAACCACGCATGCAATGATCTTTTAACACTCGATTGAACTTACAACAATAATTTTTTGAAAAAAAACAATACAACACAATATTTAGCCACCATCAATGGATTGAGTTACATTAAAAAAAGACTTGTATGGAATAAGACAAGGTCAACAATTAAAAATGTCAAAGAATTCACAGGATGAGGGGACATCTGGCTATTGCTTACAGTAGATATAAATGAGAAACAATCAGCCCTTGGGGACCCTGTTGTGGTGCTGGACACACCTGTGTGAAGCTCTGTTAAACAACGGATGACTATCTGTCTGTCCAGGGACAACGTCATTGTTTCATATTGCTGAGACGAATGCTGCGTTCCAGTTCAAACTGCCGGAAATCGACTCTCTCCAAGAAAGCTTTGCGTTCGATATATCTGGAAACAATACAAAATTAATTAATAGCAAAACAAATTCCTCAAAATCATTTACAAGAACAAATACAAGGGAGGATCCAACTGTAGTTATGTAGCGCTTTGGACAACTTTCCTTTTCTCTTTGTATTTACCTCTTCTCCTAAAAGCATCTGGACATCTTTATTCTGCTGTTAGTATAGAGTTCCAAGGCCACAATGGTTAATGGCAATGGCGAGTGACAGCAGACTAGTCGATTGCTGGGGTTTCACTGATCCAGTCTTCGCCAGCGTCACTGGACACTTATTAGTAATGAGAACCCTAACTGATTTCTCTTGTTTAAGCACAGTTTTATATAACAATCCTTGCATTTGATACAGCACCTTACCATGTTGTCAAGACATCTCAAAATGCTTCACAGGATTTTACTGCGAAGTACAGTGACTGTGTAGTTGTAGGCAAATGTGACAGCCAACTTGTGCTCAGCAATGTCCCACGAATAGTAATAATGTGAGTGATATATAATAAAAATTATTTATAATTTTTAATATATATATAATATATTTAATATATTTAATATATAATAAAAATATATATAATAAAAAATATTTGGAGGATTGTTGGCCAGGACACCAGGAGAAACTCCCTTCTCTTTTCAAATAGTGCCATGATATCTTTAAGATTATCTAAACAAGCAACCAGGACTTTGGTTTAATGTCTCATCTGAAGAATGGCAACTCTGACAATGCAGCACGTCCCCAGGACTGCGCTAATGTCAGCCTGGACTGTGAGCTCAAAGTCTCTGAGTCAGAAATATGGTGTGAAGCTTGAACCCATACCTTCTGATTCAGAGGCGAGAGTGTTACCAACTGAGCCAGGCTGATACACGTTTTGTTTTGTTTTCATAGCACATAAGAATGATCTAAGAAGATGTCATTTTTGAAAGGCATCTCGATCTCATTTTGTTTGAAAAATTCTAACTGAGTAATCAATCGAGTCTGATATTATATACCAGATTTTGCAAATTTGCTCTAACAACTGTGAGCTCATTGCATGACCGCTAAATGATCCTGGCTTTTCCCAGTCACCTGGGACTGTGTAAATCCATCTATTCTTCCTTCTCCAATTCCCCCACATCCACTACTGATGATGGCGGCAAATGCTGGTCCGATCAATAAAAAACAGGGCTGTCGACCTAAGTGCCTTTTCTGGTTCCTAAATGTCTTGAGTTTCCTATGGTTTTCAATGTAGCTCCCTGCTGGGGGCATTCTTTGCACGTTTGGTAAAGCTGTCAGTGGGCTAATGGTGTTCTCATCGCAGAACCCAATCTGATCCACTCTCTCACTCACATACGCTTGCACACACACATACCAAACTCCACCCTGGTGCTAATTGCATCATCCCCATTAGTACAACTCAGGTCACAGTTTGAATCCTTCTGTTCTATACGACTCAGACTCACGCACAGAGCTAAAGAGGGAATAATGTAAAATACACTTTTCTGTAATATCGCTCTCTGGAAGGAAGCAGCTGCAGACCAACAGCATATAACAGCTAGGTATGGCCTACAAAAACACCACAAGGGAAATGATTCAGTGATTCAGGTAATATTCTGGGCAGCACTGTTGTGTGGGAGACGGATGAAGCTACAGCTACCACAGCAATCAATATGTTTTACAGCAATTTAGGAGAACATTAATCCCAATATTCAACAAGTGTTTGTCATATTATTGTGTTTGCATTCTAAATATAATCAGCTCATCTCCAACTCTGCAGGAAGCGATCTTTGCAGTCAAAAAATGTAGCTACAAGGTAGGAAGGCTGAATATACACATAATGACAAAGAATGAAGTCAAGCAAACACTATAACCTCCTGGTGAGTTCATTAAGGAACATCTGAGGTCTGAGGTTCATTAAGGAACGCATTGAGGTTTTATCTTTGCTGAACACATTCAGACAAACATAGTTTTGTGGACTTCGGTTTGTTTGAACGCATTTTTTAAAAAATCTTTCCTCGAATAAACGCATTAAAAAATTAACGGTTAATGTTCATTCAGCATATCATCATTAAAAATAGTTCAGGGAGCAGGAGTGTTCTAGCGAACTTGGAATTTTTTTTAGTAGGAACACACACGTGGATTTGGGCAACAAATATTACTTTATGGACATTCTATATAAATTACTTGGAACAGCTGTTATCTTAATCTGATTAAACCAGGGTTATAAGTACATTTTTAAATGAGGTACGGTTGATTAATATTGACTTTGGATTTCTTCACAACGTTACAGGAACACTGTGTTGTGGGAGTCCTTGTACCTCCAGTGGCAGGGACAGGAACTGAAGGCCATAGTCGTGATAGCTGGGATCAACAAACAGCAATGACAGTCGGAACAGAACCAAAAAGCTCGAACTGCCCAACCCACAACTGAACAAAGGCCAAACCTGGAGAGAGTAATCCTGCTTTACTGAACTCACCCTGGCTTTTGTACAGAATAGTTATGTCCTTCACCCCTGCCTGTGCAACAAAGAGAAACTCCAAACTTCATTTAAAAAACTGTTTTGATGTGATGAAAAAAAATTGGCCACACAATTCCCTGCAATTGTCCTTTGGTTGTCAAACTGTGCCTGTCGTCCCATTAATTGTGGCCCGAGAAATCAATGTGTCGGGTATCTTGGCAAGTCTGAATAATGCATTGAATTTGACATCTATAAAACAGTTGACGACTTTACAATAAGACAAAGTTGTGCACTAACATTTTGTAAATGTCTCAAATAATATTTTAATACCAAAGCATATTGATCTCTCTTGGTTTTGAATTCTTCCTTTGCCAGCGGGCAATTATTTCACCTAACACCAATTTTAATGCTACGTAGCTTTACAGCAAATTGAAGTCTGCTTTGAACACTTTGAAGACTGAGGCCCTCCTGAATGGCTCGCGCCAGCACCTCTGCACTTCAGGCTCTGGCAGCATCAACCTCCATGGCTGCACACTTCAACTCACCAAGCCAGTCAGGAACCTAGGGTGTCTTGTTCAACCCTCAACTGTCTTTTCTTCCCCACATCCAAGCCATGACCTGCTCTGCCTTCCCTCATCTCCGTAACATTGCCCGACTCCTCCGCTACCTCACCCCTCAGGCCGCTGAAACTCTTGTTCATGCCTTCATCACCTCCAGGCTCAACTATGCAAACGCTCTGCTTGTCGGTCTTCCGAACTCCTCCCTCCACAGGCTGCAGATAGTCCATAACTTTGCAGCCCGTGTCCTCTCCCGCACCAAACTCCGTGACCCCATCTCCCCCATTCTTACCTGACTCCATTGGCTCCCTAACCTTCAGAGGATCCAGTTCAAGATCCTGGTCCTCACCTACAAAGCCTTCCATGCCTCGCCCCACCCTATCTCTGCGACCTCCTAATCCCCTACCAACCCATTCGCTCCCTCCGCTCAGCCAGCTCCGGCCTGCTCCATGTCCCCCGACCCACCCGCCCCACCACTGGCAGGAGAGCCTTCAGCCACTCTGCCCCCAACGTCTGGAATTCCATCCCCCAATTACTCCGCCTCACCCCCTCCTTAGCCTCCTTCAAGTCCCGCCTCAAGATCCTCCTCTTCGACCATGCCATCGGTCAACCCCCTCCCCTCCCTCCCCCCCCCCGACCCCAGCTCGGATCTGAAATGCTGTACACTGTCCAGCGCCTTGGGACTTCCTCCTGATGTGAAAGGTGCTATACAAATATAATCTTGTCGTCGTTGTTGTTGAGAGGTTTAATCCAACTGTAAGCCAAATGTAGAGGCTATAATCAGACTATAACTTCCAGCAAGCACCACAATGCTTCACCTCGGAAATAATGTACAAGGGCGGTTTCGGCTGACAAATTTGGTGTCACCTGGATATCAGCTGTCAGAGTAAGGTTAAAAAAAAGTCAAAGAAATGAGTTGAAGGGTTATCCAATCCATTACGGTCGCTATGGCAAAGGTCAACTGCTGTCTGGCAATATGGAGAGGTATAAAGCTACTGTTCATTTTATGTTTTGTGAAGAGTTAAGTCTGTATGTGACACTTTTAAAAAATATCATGGGATATGATAATACGATTACATGTGTGAATGTGTGCATTCTGGACTCCTGAGCCTATCATCTTCCCTTTATGTATAGAGCATTCTTCTGGACTCTGCGATATGCTGCAGTGCTGCAGTTAGAGCACCTTTCATTAACTTCACACAATGTACATACGATGCAATATCATTTTGATTATCAAACTGGTTCATGAAGGAGACGAGCACAGCTATATCACAGGATGCCTTCAGCACTGAGGCCATGCACGCTTCGCAGGCTGATGAACACCAGCAGCTGTCTGCTTCTAAAATCATTTCTTGCCGAGGGCCAATCATGCAACAACACTTGGCGGACCACAATCATATTTTTATGCTCAAGTCAGGAATACAGCTGGATTCCAATTTATTTCGGCTTATTCCAAGGAATCCTATTAAAGCTATGTTACGTGGAGTTGTATGCATGTCTTTAATTTGATTTTAAAACACCATTAACATTCTGCAAACACTGGTTTCTGTAACCGTTCTGTCAGAGAATGATGTGAAACTGGAAAAGGTTGTGTAATACTTGAAGAGCAACCCGGGGCTTAACACCAATTAACCCACCGAATACAATGCAAATGAACAGTGTCTGATTAAAATGTCAGCCTAATTTTTATGGTTTGCTGAATATTGCAATCCGAATTATATCAGCAATAAAAGAATGTTAATTGAGATTTGAATAGGGGAGGAAACGTCTGTCTCCATGACTTACTGTTCCCTCTGCTGCATCTGTACTTTTTTAAAAATCTCCTTATTGTCCCTCCTCGATCTCAATTATTTACCCGGCTCTGCAGTCACTTTCATATTTCAATGGTAAGCGTTGCTTCATTTCCTCCTCTGCTAATCGATTTGCCTCTGTTCAACCTTTTTCTTATTGTCCCAGCTTTTATTAATCTAGCAAATTCCCCTTTATTATTCAATCAATTGGTTCTCTTT